TTTTTTAAATAAGATAAATATGCAGCAAAAAATTACCTTTTTTTCTAAAATAATGAAAATTAAATAAAAATTGATTATTTATAAAAAAAATGTTCCGCAAATAAAGAGCATTCTTCAGTAAAGAAGATATTCCTAATCTTTTTTTCAAAAATCCGCATGTGTTTATCTTTTGAAACAAAAAAGTTAGGTATGTCTGTCCAAAGGATAGAAATGTCTAAGAAACCGAAATTTTAAGTAAATGTCTAAAATTTCGACCCCATTTATCTCTAAATTTAGCACACGAAGGTATATTTTTTTTATAACATATTTAAATAGACTAAGTGAAAAATAGCTTGTATGCAAATTTTCGTAAAAAAATCACCGTGGGATCAAAACTGTATCGTATGCCCTTAAACAAGAATATGTAATTTGAATCGTCCTTGATATATGACAAATTTGAATTATGATTTATAATATTCCATGAGGCTTTACGTTGATTGGTGGCTTGTCATTGCCCAGAGAAACACAAATTATGAGTAAAGTTGACTGTCATGTGTGCCTCTTTCATGTGCTTTACAGTCTGGTGAATATTTAAATATTTAATAATTAAAATTAGCGAGATGTAACAGCTTCAAAACAAAATAAATATATTCTTATACCAGCTGGAAAATAACAATAGTATTACACCAATGGGAAAAACAACAGTTAGTATAATTAAAACCCAATTGTTCAGAGAACAATTGAAGGTCTTTCCACCCGAAATTTTTTTTTTTAAATAAGAAAGATATTTTGTTACTTCCGGTTTGAAAAATGTCACTTCCAGTATTATTTGATAGTTTACCTGACACTGATTCCAAAAATATATGGTTCTATATACTTGTACATTACACAATACAAAACAGAGCTACTTCCGGTTTTCACAAGGTCACTTCCGGTTGGCTTTTCCAAGGTTATATGGCTTGCAACCTAATGCATAAAGTCCCATGGCTTTATCATGTATACATATGAAGTAAAAGCAAAGGTCAAAATCTTGACCGTCAAATTTACCAATGACCTTGAGCTCAATTTGAAGGTCATAAATCAAGGACATAAAATTAAAAGACACTAGGTCTTTATTATATATGGTGAATGAGTTATATCACCATACGTGTAATTTTAAATCTAAGAGAGGAGAAAACTCCAATTTAATGTTAGCGTACCTTTTCAACCAAAATGTATGTGTTACGACATGTCGCAACTAACAATTTAGTAAAAATATGCTGTCGATATCTTATACGGTTTTTGAAAAGAAGTGAAATTAAGCCAAAATCTAAATTTAGAATATGACCTTGACCACTGACCTTGACCTCATTTTCTTTTTTTTTTGGACCAAGGACCTCAAATCAAAAGACCTTAGGTCTCTATTACTTATGGTTTACCAGTTAAAAATGCATATCACTTATATCAAATGCATAAGGGGGATTACTCTCATATGGAGTCTCCGGATAGCTTCGATCAAAATTAAACGTAACATCCTGAGGATATAATGAGCATTTTGGAAAAATAAATTTTCCCGGACTTTTTTTTCGGAGCAGCTCTTTGAGTTCGTCTAAGCTAAATAAAATGTTTTGCTGAGTTCCAAAAATCTCAGGGAAAAGATTATTTCCCTTAGGTAAAAGATCGACAAAAAGTAGCCTCCACTGCATTTTTGTTAAAACTTCCGGGCACGGAAATCAAAGTTTAAAACAAAATGGCCTCGAGTTAGCTGCCTTGTTGTTTTTAAGTATGAATAACAACATAAAGGGTTTTAAAGTCATATGAAACCTCAAATGAAAAATAAGTAAATATGTTTTACATATTTGAATGGCTAAGTTTTACTATAAAACAAGTGAGCTTTCTTGTAAATGAAAATCATTTTTTAATATTAAAATTTCATAAATGTACTGCAGCGCTATTGAATTATTGTCTTACCGTACTCTAATTCGCCGATATGTTCCCTACGGTAGAGTTTTGTCTATTTTTCTTATATCCATTACAAATGTATTTTGTAACTGTGTAAATCTTAAGACCTTTATCATTAGTAACAATTGTATCTGCTGTACCAAATGCCGGATAATGGGGTGTGATTATACTGACTAGGAAGCTAGTACGGCAGTCAGAGGCGGAATTAGGGAGCGGTGCCATGCCCCATTATTGAGCTACATTTATGGTTAACACATAGATGTTTTACAAGTCCTACTCTTCAAGTTGCCTTGGTGCACCCTTCATTCAAACCATTTTTTTTTCAAAAATCTTGATCCGCAACTAGCAGTGATAAGTGAACATTTCCACGGAAGAAAACAAAGTCTCAGATAAGGAACTTCTCGAAGTTTTCATGACATCTCCCAACATAGTTTAAGAATTCCTCATTGATTGATCCTCTTTCTAAGCTTCATCCGTCAATTTGCTACCTTAAAATTTAAATGAGTGAATACATCAATTTTCTATTCAGAACTGATAATATTGCTGTCTCCCATTCACTTTCTCTCCCTTAGAGAAAGCGACCAACAACGAAGGGAAGCACAAACCTTAAACCATCTCAAAATTAGATAATAACGATTGACTGATTAATTGATTAATTGATTGTGTATTGGCTAATCGTGGACGTCAGATTTTATTGATAAGGAAGATGGAGCGCTCGGAGAGAACCTCCGAACTTCGGCAGGAAAACAGACAATCCGAGTCAATTGATATTGGAGTCGAACGCACCTGCCACTGGCGGCATTCGAACTCACAACCGCAGTGTTGTTAGACTAATGATACAGTAGATGAACTACTTAGAGTATAAATGGTAAAAAATACCATAACGAACAATTAAGAGTTATACACCAGAGAGTATTATACTAATCATTTTAGAGCATTTTCTACAATCAAATGTAGTTATTATTGAAATAAGGCCGACGTTGTGTTATTTTTGTTCTAGTGTGTCCTTTTAATTTTTTGGTAGGTCTTTGATCGTCGGAGGTAAAAACAAACATATTTAGAGGGAATATTTGAACTGTATAGTCAAATCGTTACTTGGTTCAACATGAAAAGGCTGGTGTGTAGTTATATGCCTAGAACGAACTGATTTGACGTTTAAAAAGGGATGTCAAACTGTATGAACTTAGGCACTGACCATTCATCGTGGCCGTGTGTGCGTGGGTGGAGGTTGAAAACTTATTGATTTCTTTTTCGTGGATTTTCGAATCAAACGAGGACAAGGTACGATTCGGAGCTTATTTGGCCCTTTAATTTGACCGTTTTAGATCTGTATACAGTATCAGTGACCACTGTCGATAGTAAACTAGCAATTGAAAGTAACCAATAAATGGTATTTCTATTATATTTATGTTAATCTAACACAAAAAAAAACCCCAAAAACACGAAAATAATTAAAATATATTGAGAAAAAAATATAACGGATTTTAAAAAAGGGTGAGAGCAAAACAAAAAGTGTCTTGTCCCCAAGTACCTGTGTTTGTATTTACATACCCCAGTTTGGGTATTTGAGAAAGTAAGAGTTTCAAGTTTCAAGTTTCAAGTTTACTTTATCAGCAAACGTTGAGTAAATTGTCAAATTAGACATTTTACTGATTAACTACATGTCTTTGCATGGCTGTTTTACGATTGAATGGCAAATATTTAAACTAAAACCCCAATGTTTTATCTTTGTTAAAAGTACATAAAGATTCAACATTTAATGCTTTACTTTAAGGCCCGTTTTTGTCCAAAGAAAATTAAGCTCTTGAGAACTATATCAAATTGCACAAAATGTTTTGAAATGCATAGGATCAATAAATGTAAATAAATCACACGAGATTTTTTTTGTTATCACGTCACAGTTGCATCCTCATGTGTGGCTATTTCATGAAAACGAGGAAAACGAGAAAAACTGCAGAATTGATTCTTTGAGGAAATTTAAAACTGTAATTCAATTTTGAGCCAGTTTGGTCCCAACTCTTATACCATCTTTATTATTTCAATAAACAAACATCCCCCCCCCCCAAAAAAAAAAAAAAAAATAAAATGAATGGTCGGTGCCATATGGGTATGTTTTGATTTTATTAAGTGTGTTTTTCTTGCTGGATTGCTGGTAGATTATGAAAATTAGGCTTGAAAATGAAAAGAGACACGGCTTACAGGAAAATAATGAATTTGAATCGGAAAACACGGGTCATTTTTACTATTTGAATGATGCACAAAATAGTCTTGTCTTCTAACTGTCCAGTAGTCGTTTGTAATGCCCAAGGATTACTGACATCTGTGGTTATATTAAATGTACTGTCCAGTAGACGTGTGTGATGCCCAAGGATTACAGACATCCGTGGTTTTATTAAATGTAACATGTTGTCAATATGACTTAGAACGTGTATATAAAGACAGGGGAATGACGAACAGGCATGTTTAACTGGTTTATAGGAGACTTATAGAGGCAAGTACTAAGTATATGATATTATAACATATATTTATAATAGTTGTACAACTTTTTTTCTTAAACGTAATACTAAACTAGCTCAAATAGTTATGTCGTCTTGAACATATTGAAAGACTATTTTGATTTTTTTCTGTGACGCCTTTCAAGAAGTCATAATTATTTGGACTAATTTTAAACTTGACTTGAATAATTAAAAGCTGTATTTATTCAAGTGTTTTGTTTTCAAATTTATAGAAATACATCCACGTTTTCGTTTTGTGTTGTTATGAAATAAACAGAAAATACTACAGGCCTATACAGGGATGGTGATTTATTTTATTGGGAACTATTTTAAGATAGAAGATCTTTTTGGATAGCAAGAGATATATACAAGATTTTTTGAGGTAATAAAAGTAAAGACATTTTTTTCCTAATTTAGATTAGGACATCGTTGCTATTTTCAATCAACTTGCTTCAGATTAATGTACCCTATGCCCTGATTAAAATGATTATATTGAATTATTTAGTTAATTTATACCAACCTAAAACATACAGAAAAACAAACTTATAAGATAAAATCACCTGCATAGTATGGACTATACCTACAAAATATTATATTTTACAGAATAAGAAAAATGAAGAGTGTACTTGCTATAGTTCTGCTGTTCGTGTGTCTTGTTGGTAAGTTTACTTATTTACTTGGCTCCATATAGTAAATCTTATTTGACATTGCTGTTACAACTATTGATTTTTGTGGACCTAGCGATTAATGTCGCTTCCTATATTGGTCGAAATCTGCAGAAAGCAGTTCTGGCTTTGCTGAATCTTACCATTATATCTTTGCTAATTCCATTGTCCTGGCTGATATGTGTACCAAGATATGTGTACCAAGATATGAGTACCAAGATATGTGTACAAAAATAGGTGTACCAAGATATGTGAAATCTTCCACTTCTTTAATAATTTCTTCTTTAAGTGGTATGGGTGGTTTAGCATAATAGAGATATGTTAAACACCTTAAGTTTGCAACAAGCTTCAGTTGCTATTCAGAGGCGGATCCAGCCATTTTTAAAAGGGGGGTTCCCAACCCAGGATAAAGGGAGGAGGGTTCCAGCTAGATGTCCCCATTCAAATGCATTGATCGTCCAAAAAAGGGGGGTTCCAACCCCCGGACCCCCCCCCCCCCCCCCCCCCCCTGTATCAGCCACTGTGTTGTTGTACTAGTTATAATTAATATACTAGTATTCCTGTGTCCTTTTTGACGGCGATGTATAAATCAAGCCTATTAATAACTTATCTAAATGGTTTATTTTGTCTCAATAAACAATTTTTCTTGGAATTCTGATTTGTGATGCGTCCAATTGTTTATCAATATACAATAAAAGACGCCTGTGTCATTGTTTAGATTTTACCAAACATTTGAAAGTCAGTTACGTCAGCACTCCTGGTAAATACCTATTACTTTTGTGGCATGATTTAGGTTCAACCGATTATATTGGTTATTCATCTCTAGTTATAACTAAAGGTTCAGGCAGCTTGTTTGGATACTCTGTTTTTGTTTTCTTTAAGCAAGCTTTGCAGAAATGTTTCTTACATCTCTGACATTCCGTAAGTTGTGCATCTGACTCCCCAAATACTTTATCACTTTTAGCACATGTCGTATTCTTCTTCTTGACTTGTTTTTTAAGCTAGTCTCGAGCACGTGGTACTGTTTTTCCTGGAACCCATCTTTTTTTTTCTTTTCTTTATGAGAAATTCTTTTTTGTTGCTACTTATTACTCATAACTTGGAATAATGCTTCCTTATACCGAACTATTGATATTTTTATGAGGGTCTGGATGGGGGTCCTTCATTTCTGTATTCTTTAAATTTTTTATGCCATTTTTCTCTATTCTTTATACTTTTTGCCTATTATTCTCTTTTCTTTGTATGTAAGAACCTCTTTATTCTCTATTCTGAAAACCCATCTTTTTGTTTCTTACAGGACAAGGCTTCCCTATCCTTTAGATATTCACTGCAAATCTTCTCTATTCTTACGACATAGACATCCTGTAGATGTAGACCCCTCCCTAGCAAGCACCACTAATTTAGTATACTTAATAGAAAAACAAAGGTAAGACAAAAGTAAGACAAAATTAAGTACATGCACAGCAAACAAACACACAAAAAACTGAGGAATAGCAGTTTTATTTTTTTTTCTTCCTCTAAAAGTCACAGTGAGGCCTTCAATACGGACAAAAAACTCTCTACTCACTGCAAGTTTAAGACTGACACTAGCACCGGTTTAAGCGGAAATCTTTGAAAAATAATTTGGGCAGACTTTGTTAGATGTAACACTACCAAATCGGGCCCGGTCAAATAGAACAAACTGGAAAGTATTACATTTTTAAACCAAATAGTTCCTACGCATATTGTTTATTTAAGGTATGGTATCCGTAAATGGACAGTCTGTGATGATGACCAACGATCAATGTAAACGTGTCGTAAAAGGTTGCATGTCCAACAATTACAAAAAGGCTGTGCAAGCGGACAAGAATTGTAATGACTGTTGCAGACGATCGGGTTGTGCCCGTGGTGATTGTAAGCGCAGGCATTGTGATTGCAAAAGTTGTAAGTTAAACTTTATCTAGATATTTTTTCTTGCGAAGTGTTGTTTGTAAATTTCAACGCTTTTAATTTATTATGTTGTCTATCATGATTGTCTTCTAATGCAATTTTAAAGAAAAAAGTTAAAATAAGCTTTTGCCTTTATTAATAAACATGAATAAGTGAATGTGTGGTATATGTCGAGCCAGCAATCCAACGACAAGGAAAACTAGTTAAAAGACATATATTTTTCTTCTTATTATTTTCACCTTACAAGTAGTATTAGATTACAACTTCTGATGGGTTGTTCACAGATTTTTCAACAACAATTATGTTAGGGTCGGAATGCCCTTTATTGCTAAGCGTCATAAGTTCGTTTTTTGCTACCGTTAGCGTCAAATGAGCCTTAATTTTTTATCGTCATTCGTCAATTTAGGAATTTTTTGTCAGATGTTCGGACTCCTTGGGTTTTTCCTACGATACAGGGCAAAATATTTTGCCCCATTTCACCCCTTTTCTTTTCATAAAAGACTTTAATAGCTCGTAAAAGGTCATTTACCAAAATGTAAGCAGATTTTAGAGTCTTTTCTTACGATTTGAGACCCAAATAATGCCAATGCTAAATATTGTAAAAGTCCGAGTCGGTCTTTTCCCGCCATTTAAAAAAAATCAAATATCTCGAAAAGGAGTTCCAAAACCTATCAATAATATTTAGCTTATTTAGCATCTTAACTAATGCTCTTCTAATTTATAGTATCAAATTTAAATTCCAGATGTTTTTTTTTAATTTCACCTGACTACATCCTTAACACATATTTTGCCGTCATTCGTCATGTAGGGTACCCCATTCCTACCCTCAGTTATTGCTAATGGTCCGCTGGCTTCCATTATTATACTGTTTTAACACAAACATGACCGTTATATTTACAAAAGTATGTCATATATACCTACAATATAAAAAATAATGAGATGGGTATGATTGCCAATGAGACAACTATCATCCAAGTTCAAATGTCGTAGATAAAAGCAAGTTTAAGTCACTATACGGCCTTCAACTACAACGTATTTATAAACTACAGCTACTGATGGGTTGTTTAACAATATTTTTTTTATTGCTATAGTCCATTTATTTACATTGATATTCTTATATATTATAAAAACAACGGATATGGGATATCCATCCATAACACAAAATCAGTACATGCTCAGCAAAAACATACAAAAAGCAAAGGAACAGCGCTTTTATTGCTGTTCTTCATTACAGTGAGGCTTTCATAAATATTGTGTTATCTAATAATACAGTATACATGTATCTCTTTTTAGCGGTTCAATCATAATCTTTTTGTTTTTGCGACACTTGACCCAATTAGGAAGTTGTCTAAGTGACTATTTTTTCCGGAATGGACTATGTAAAGGTGTATATATGGTACGCTATTGAACAAAAGTTCGGATCAGTGGTGGATCCAGAAATTTATAAGTGGGGCCCACTGACTGCCTAAGAGGAGGCCCGCTCCAGTCATGCTTCAGTGATTCCCTATATAATCAACCAGTTTTTCCCCACAAAAGGGGGCCCGGGCCCCCTGCCCCCCTAAATCGGCGTCTGCGTATATTCCTAAATATACTACCGTTTGGGAGCATAAAACAAACAAAGCCTGTTATGGTGAACTTTGACTAATTGACTTGTTATCTTCACTACATGTAGTTTAAGCACAATTACATACTAGTTTAAACTAAGCATTCAAATTTACTATCATGTGTATTTATTTGCACTTTGTCTTTTTTCAGGTGGTAGAGGATAAAAAGTCGTCATCTGTTTGAGATTCACAGCTTACTGTTAACGTACTATGCTTAATTACCGTTATCATTATTCGAGACATTCACTTGCATTATTCAATAAAATAAACTAACGAATATCAATTTACGGTACTTTTTAATGTTGATATTAGTTAAAGTTACTTGTTCTCATGCTGAGAAATGAGTAAGTTAATTGTGTTGAGTGGATTGGTGGAGAGGTGTCGTCTATCGGGTCAAGTGATAATTGTCAAAAGAGACTGAGTGTAATCAAATGGTTGTCGTTTGTTGCTGTATATCATATTGGTTTTTCGTTCATTATTTTGTACATAAATCAGACCGTTAGTTTTATGTTCTAATTGATAACTTCAAGCGAACATAAATTATTTACAAAATAAACCCAACACCTTTGTATGGGATCAGCTCGCCTGACAGTGTGCAGCAAAGCTTTGATTTTATTAAAGACAAATGCAAAATACTAAATGTTCATCTATTACTGTCTGCCTAGGCCGCTGCAGGTAACAAACACAAAAACCAATCTACAAAAATAAAAACAATTTTCATTATGTACGCAAAGACATATTATGAATCAAATTGAAGATTCTGTTCTTACACACATTATTAGAAATACCACAAGAAAAATACATTAAGTCAGGTGGGAGGGTGGGAAACTTTACTGAATTCACACAACCGCCAAAAATATAGCACGAAATATTTGAATTGACCTTATTCAAATATTATGGTCAGTTCTAACTCGACCAATGAAAAACATTTAACCTATTATATACTTTCAACACGTGTATAGTTATAAACAAATACACGTGGTAATGTTTACATACCGGTGAACATAACTTCAATAAATATATTTCTCGTTTGAATTGTTTTACATTTGTCATTTCGGGGCCTTTTATAGCTGACTATTATGGGTTTTACTCATTGTTGAAGGTTGTACGGTGACCTATAGTTGTTAATTTTTGTGTCATTTGGTCTCTTGTGGAGAGTTGTCTCATTGACATTCATACCACATCCTCTTATTTTTATATTATAAAACAATGAACATTGTCAAAATATCAGAAATTAACAAGTTCGTTTTCTTTTGTGCGATCGATCTTTTTCATAGACCAAATATGATACAATGGTTTTTCAACTGTCTAATGTATGTACCTGATCTACAACTACTAATATTAGACATTTTCGAAAAGTCATCTACACAGACACTTATACCGACACCGATACCTACACTGACTAAGAAAATAGAGGGACCGTATCAAAATGTCGAAATATACTGAATAAATAACCCCGTAAAACTTAATCGGACTCAGCAGAGGTAAAAACATAAAAAATCATTATTCTGTACTTGTTTTTATATATTTTTTTTCAGGATCTGAGCATTAAACACCAAGTGCTTTCGTTAGTTTTGGAATTCCTTTAGTGATGAATTTGTGATATTCCAACTAATTGTCGAATCATACTGATTGGCCCTTTTAAAGCAGTAATTTGCATTGTATTGTAGCTTTTAGGGGGAAAATAACAAAAATGGGGAAAAATCTTATCAAAAGCGAAAATCGGGTACAACTTGTTACGTTCAAGTGTGTATGGTTTGACTGTTTTGTCCAGAAAACGTATAAAGCAAAACTGTGTTACATCATCTCGCTTCAGATCCCTTATTTGTATATATTTGGGATACATTTTGATATGATAACATTACAAATTCACAGCACCAAAACATGAAATATAAAGGTCATGTGAAATACCTTTTTTTGTGCCAAAATAATTGAGTAGGTGTATTTGAATAACAAAAGAAAATCTTCCTGCTACTTCAAATGTTTAAACTGAATATGTATTTCTTACTTGTATTCTATCTACTTTCGTTCACTAATTGTTCAGTGAAATAGTTAGACATATTAATTATCTTATTCATGAAATGTATACAAAAAAAGGTTGGACACATGCACCGTTCACTATCATAGTGATACCCCTGAATTTTTACTAAAAGCCCTTAACCTTAAGAGTGAATCTTTAAAATGCATTTTTTTTCTAAAGGTTATCACAGGCATATATACAACATTTAGATTTGCTGATTTTTTTGATTTTTTTTTGTAATTATTCAAATAATCATTATTTAACTGACACTTTTTCCAAAATTATTTACATGAAAATAACAAACTACAAAAAACTTATTGTGTGTGTATAACCATCGAGGTGAATCTTTTTTTATGATTATAAAAAATTGTGTTCCCTTTATTTTTGCAGGTTTCTTATGCATACACGAGATATACCCATGAATAGAAATATGTGTATTGCTACAAATCTATAATATAGTTTTTTCTTCAAGATTATCAGCTTTTTTCATACGAATTGAAGATGAGGAAATATGAATTAAAAGATTTTGATAAAGCGGACCTTGGAACAGTATATCTAACGATAAAATCGACTATAATTAGGTAGTGTCAAGTCCCGTCAATACATATACGGAAGGAGTTCCATATGTCACCCCCACGGAATAAACTGTAACACATTATTGTGTTCTTTTAGTATGGCGGGGTGCCATATGGAACTCTTACCGTCGAAAGTCCACGTTTTATTGGTTTAAACATTGGTAAAAAACGTAAGCCTCAAATACTGAAAGGAAATTTGATTGGCTGATCTAGAAAACATATTTCAACCAGGTGTTCTCGTTGAAGTCCGCGTTACATAATCCAATGAATGTCATTAGTCGGGACATTTGTAAGACTTTCAATCCAGGTGCTTTCCTTGAAGTCCGCGTTTAGTCAACTTTGAGAATTGAACAAACACCTTTTCAAACCGAGTTATGGTGGCTGGGGGGTCTTAATTGAAATCCATAGACTGTTTTAATAATTTGTCAAAATGAAGTTTTTATCATGCTTTTTTCTCGCTACGGGTTGTGCAAAATTGTCAGATTTTGTATAGATTATGCATGGAAAATTCAATTTTGTGTGATAAAAAGAAAACTACACCATAGAATTTTAAGATAAAATGTGGGAAGATAGCTCTTATAACATGCTTTCAGATAAGAAAAAGAAAAAATAGGGTCGACGGACTTGTTTTCTTGCTACATATTAAAATAGGTAAATTCACAACACTTTCTATCATAAAGTTACTTTATCTGAGTTATCTCTCCTACTATCTCAGTAATCTCCCCTTATTTGTCATAGTTGAAAAAAAATGAATCAAACAAAAATATTGTTTTTTTTTTTAGAAAATACAGCCGTAAATATGATAAAACACATACTTTTCTATATTAACATTAAAAGTCTTACACATGAATTACATACTACTCTCAAAATTTGCACATTTCATTGAAGATCTAGACCAATTGTTATCTGCTACTTCAAAATCCAAGATGGAGGAAGACACCCGAGCCACCTTAATAAAATAAAATTAGTTCAACGTTTAAAAAGGATATTTCTTCCTCCAACACAGCACAATTATTCCTCTTCGTGTCTATCTATGTGTTTTCACTCGATAAAACTGAAATATTCGAGAAATTTCAAATAGAAACAATTATCCGTTTAAATCTAACATGACGTTCTTCAAAGGCGTACACACCCGTGGTAAAATATTAATATCATTATAGGTCAGCTGATCGGCAAAGTTTTGATTTGCTTGGGATGTTCCAATCATACTCCAACGTCGTATGCTTTTTATAAATGAGTTACCCGAGGTCAGAATGTGTAAATGATGACGTAAAAGTATAAGCATTCTACGGGAAAATGCACGAATATGAAACTGAAGTTGCCATAAAACATGCAAGAAAAACATTTAACTTGATGTAAACTTTTCTTAGTATGAGATTGTAAATCTTTAGGCATTTCACTAATGCCTTTTTCCTTCCCTTTTCTGTTACGTTTATTGTCAATTAAGTAACTGCTGCAAATATTTCCCTTCACCAAGAGCGCTTCGAGAACAATTGTTCTCTTTGTTTTATTATAATAGAATTTAAACCTAGGGGCTTGATTGTATATTGATTTTACCACGGATTGGTCCTTAATGCCGTTTTGTATTATCTCGCTAACGCTCCGGTTAAAATATCTAGCATTAAGTGCCTACATGTGGTGAAATCAATATAAATTCAAACCACAATGTATTAATAAACCCCATGTACCAAAGTTGCGTAGAGTATAATGTTTTTGACCCGTTCGTCTGTCAGTCATCAAAACTCTTCTAAAAGCACACAACAGATATTCATAAAACTTGGCAGATCATTAGAACATTTGTTTGTAGATGTGCATATCGACAGGCAATTATGATTCAATTTATTTTCCAGTAGATATGCCCTTTAAACTTAGAATTTCTGCCTAATTTTACTACTGAAACAGTTTATCATTGCAAAAGCTTGTCATCGCCACTCCTCTAAAACCAAAGACACGAATTTCATTAAATTTTGTGGATAATTAGGACATACTATGTAGATTTGCATATCCACAGAAAGTTATGGTTCAATATTTTTTTATGAGTAATGCCTTTTGAACGTAGAAATTTTACCTTAATATATTACTCCTACAGTTTGTCATCGCCACTCCTCTGAAACAACACAACTTTGTAGATATATGTGAATATCAACAAGAAATTATGATTCAGTTTTTTCTTGGAGTTATGCCCTTTGAATTTTACCTATAAATATATGTTACTGCAACAGTTTTTCAGCGAACTACTCTGAAAACCACACAATAGAATTGTATGAAACCTAGTAGTTTATGTGGACATAACATGTAGATGTGAATATCCACAACAAATTTTTATCATAACCTAGACTTTTGTAAGAGGTTATGAACTTATGAATCTGGTGAGATTTTTTTTGTAATCGATAATATTATATGGGGGCGTGGGGTATGTACCAAGCACGGCTTAAAACCGATACTACCTGGACAATTCAAATCTGCTTTTAAAAAATGGGGTTTGGAGATACTGAGAAATTGTATTATTTGACGCGGTTAACTAGACACCGTTCATAGAGAATAGAACAATTTAATTTTAAAATGAAAAACAAACACACGTAAAAAACAACGCAAACAGATAAAATAGACTATTGGTTGAAAGGGCCCCTTTAATCAACAGCGATAATAAGTGAAATAACAAATATAAGTCCCTAAGCAAATGGCAAA